GCAATGGCCTATGACCGCTATGTGGCCATCTGCAACCCTCTGCTCTACCGAGTCATCATGTCTGAAAGAGTATGCTGGGGCCTGGTGATTGTTCCCTACCTCTACAGTGCCTTTCTTTCTCTTCTGACTACCATCAAGATTTTTATTTCCTCCTTCTGTGGTTACAATGTCATTAGTCATTTCTACTGTGACAGCCTTCCCTTGTTAGAATTGCTATGCTCCAGCACACGTGACGTTGAACTGATAGTGCTTATCTTCTCAGCATTCAATTTGGTTTCATCTCTGTGTATAGTCCTTGTGTCCTACATGTTGATCCTTGCAGCCATCCTCAAGATGAAATCTGCAGAGGGCAGATACAAGGCCTTCTCCACGTGTGGCTCTCATTTGATAGTAGTAATCGTGTTATATGGGACTCTGTCCTTCATGTATGTGCAGCCCAAATCCAGCCATTCCTTTGATAACGATAAAATGGCCTCTGTATTTTACACAGTTGTAATACCTATGCTGAATCCCCTAATCTACAGTTTGAGGAACAAAGAGGTGAAAGGTTCCTTGCACAGGATATGGAAATATCTGTGCAAAATTCCTACTTAAAGTTTAAAGTACAATGTATACTCAATGAATAAAGTAATAGACAGTTGTTTATTTTAGAAGGAGATGCTTAAAAGGCATGGGAAATTGGAAAGTGTTTCTTGTTTTCAATGAAAATAAGAAACTAATAGATGTTCCAGTACTGATTATTCTTCTGCTTTCCTTTCAGTATGAATTTTGGTCTTGTTCTCAAGTTCAATACAAGTGCCTAAAGTCCAGATCTCTGTCCTTGCATTGCCAAATATGCATATGACCATTAAAGAGAACCCTTTTTGTATACATCTCCCAACAACACTCTTTTTTAATTCTTGTGGTAAATATACTTTTATGTATATACACATACATATGTACACATCTATATATTTTTTCAATGAAGTGCATACAATTTAAACCCAAGTTCTCAGTGTAATGGTAGACTGACATAGAAGATAATTGTTGCTTCTACCTGACCTAAACACAGCAATGCATACTTAAAAAAAATTTTTTTAAATATCTCACTGTTAGAAAGTATAAGATGTTTCTGCGTTTTTAAAGAAGACATAAGTTGAGAGATATGTATATCATGTTCATGGTTTGATTGGAAGGCATAAAGATCTAACGATGTCAGTTTTCCCCAAATTACACTTTAGGTTTAATGCAGTCAAAATACAAATTTCAATACATAAGTGTGTTTATCTATACATATGCTTATATATGAAGAGGCTTCAAAAAGTTCTTGAACAAATTCCATTATTTCTTAAAATTTCATTTTCCATGAATTTTTAGAAATCCTGCATGTGTGTGTATATGTATGTGTAGTTATTTCAAAGTTTGTGTAGAAATGCAAGCTAGCTAGAGTAACCATAGAAATATCTCAGAAGAAAGAATTTTGGGTGGTTCCAGCAACAGATTTTGAATACGTTACATAAATACATATGTGTACATTCACAAAGCTACATTATTTAGAATGTCTCCCATTAGCATACACATGGCAGATAGATAAACAAAGCAAAGAGAAAACAAAGTCCCCAAAGAGACACAACCATATAGTTTTGCTTGATTTAAAAGAAAAACTTCACTACAATTCAATAAGGAAATAAGGGTCTTTCAGTGTTTGACATAGATCAAGCAGATTTCCTATGTAAAATAATAAACCTTAGTTACTCTATCATATATAAAAGTTATTAATTGAAATAGATAATAAGTATAAATGTGAATATCAAAGCCACCTTGATTTCTGAAGAAACAGTCAGTGAACTTGAAGATAGATCAATAGAAGTCATCTACTCACAGGAAGAAAGC